CCATTGCCATCAGCGGTCCATTCTAGATGTCGATGGTTCTAAGCCGTGGCAGACGGCCATTTCTATCTCTTTCCATTCAATGGTGTAATGGGAGAGAGAATGAGAGGGAGATTGGCCGTCTCCCACGGTCCCTCTCTCTCATTATTGTCGACCACATTTGATACGTTACTTAGATACGGATCGCGTAGTCCATTCTCTATGTCTTTGATACGAGCCAAATATTCATGTTAATAATAGCAAAATTATATCAATTGTCGATAATGTCAGCGTTCTCCAATTACCTCCGGGTTCTTGAGGCTTTTTTTATACCACCGAAAATTTGCCCAGGATTGACGGTCTTTAATAGTATCTCGTCGGTATTCAGAGTCATGACTTTGACATTACTGACATATGTGAAGATCAAGGACAGTGTTCCCCTTATATTTATTCTGCATAAAAACGAAATGTATGCATAGAAATCTCTTTAGTTATACTTCAAAAGTCTTTCACATGAAATACAAATAATTTCGTAAAGAAATTATTTAAGGATATATCCACACAACTTACATAGCTGCAAATGGATGCATAAAGAAAATTATCCAATCACATTTTACGTGCGTCTTTATAGGAGAAATGAGATTGGATAATTTTCTTTATGCATACGTTTATGCGGCTATGCAAGTTTGTGTGGGTATATCCTTACTACCGACGTGTCTACAGCGTCTACTGCTACTGTTCATTGTAGACGACGCTTTAGAGAACATTATCAACTATAAGTTCATACGAATAGTACTCACTGGTTTTGATCCCTCGCCTGGTATTCTTTCTTCATCCGCATCAGTGTCGCTAGCTGTTAACACTTGCTGCAATAATTGACCCTGCTCATCTCGATTTCCATACATCAAATCTGGCTCCTAGAAAAATTACAATCATAATCATATTTTATGGTTGCAAAAAACATTATATACATCATGTTTACTTCTATCCTGATGAATTACTGATCAAAAATGTTTCAGATAAACGTTTTACTGTCTGAAGGGAGACAAATAACGATAAAATCAATTTCCTTATTTCATCAACTCGCGAGTAGCCTAAATGCCGATCGGCGCAGAAGTTGGCGACGTAAAGGGCAGGAACAAAGTTGAAAATCGGCCGAAATATGCAAGTAAATCCCAGCACTGAACTACATTATCGTTTATACTTTAATTGTGGAAAAAGATTGTTTAATCTCTGTGTGTGTGTGTGTGTGTGTGTGTGTGTGTGTGTGTGCGCGCGCGCGCGCGCGCGCCTGCGTGCGTGCGCGCGCACGTGTGTGTGTGTGTAAAGGCAGTTAGAAAAATACTTATTTGAAAAATAGTCTATAAAACACACACGACTTTACAAATCTCTTAAATAATATATTGTGCACAAAAACAAAAAGAGAAAACATTGCAACATTGCACAATCATTTTATCAACCATGTCGTTACCTCATCCATGCCTGCAAGTTTCGTAATAACTTTGTACGCGTAACCTTGATTCACGAGAAACCGTTGACGTTTTCTGGAGTAATTCATTTCCATCGTATCTTGCGATACGAGCGTGTAAAAAAATGCATTATATTCCTCCGCAATTGCACCTAAATGATGAAAATTTTAATAACACGAACTTGTCTTCGAAATAAATAAATCATACCTTTTTTAGCTCTGAGAATGCGCCCTAATCGTTGTGCTTCTTGCCTTCTAGACCCACCATGGGATGAAATTTGAATCAAGACGTTAGCCTCTGGTAAATCAAAAGAAGTATCAGCTACTTTACTGACAAATATCGTATTCACTTTCATGTTAAATTTAAAATTTTGCAAGATTTGTATCCTTTCACTCTGAAAATAAAACATTAATCATTATGAGGAAGAAATAGTTACGCGAAATATAATTTCGCATACTCTAAAATCATTGTTGTGTGTTATTATTATATATGATTAATTTAATTGAATCAATTAACGTTTACCTGACTAGTAGGACCATAAATATATGGTTTATTCATTTTAATAGCATAATGTTTCAATGCGAATACGTTGTCAGAGAAAACGATTGTTTTATCGCCACGTCTTTCATGATATTGAATTAAATATTGGCAACAACGAAATTTATTTGGATTCATCACATATAATAACTGAAATTATAAAAAAATATAATATGCAGAGATACAATATAGATTAAAGTTATAAATTATGTAGATATAATAAAATTTAACCAGTTTTCGACTCATCTTGCAAACAAGATACTCCTTGTAAAATTCTGATGTCATAGGACACCAAACTTCCGCACATTGTACTCTTGCAATAAATCCTCTTTTTTGCAATTCCAACCAGTTAGCCTCGTATAATTTAGGACCAATTAAAAAATTTAGATCGGCAATTTTGTCATCCTCTCGTAAGAGTGTAGCCGTTAAACCTAACTTGCAATGAGACTGAACAATTGTTAATACTCTACGGAACATTTTTGCAGGAATAGTATGCACCTCTAAATAAAAATCAAATTTGTTACATGGAAACAAATATTACTTTGCTAAATAATTAGAATAATAAAATTTACCATCCAAGACCATAATACCCCATTCCTGTTCTTGAAGCCAATGCATCGTTTGCTCAGCTTCCCATGAACGTTTCTGAGTATGTGTGATCATAGAATAAGTAGTTATTAATATTCCACAACCCATAGGTTTATCTTTCACTTCGCTGGTGAAACGACAAATCATGGAATCGTCGGCAGTAGACCACATTTTAAATTGTTGCTTCCATTGTTCTACAGATACACCGGAATTACATAGCACTAGGGCACGTTTACGTACTGTACAACAAGCTGTCACTCCGACTAAACTTTTACCAGCGCCTGCGTTTAAGAAGATCCAAAATCGTTTACAGATATACAACCATAGTTCTTCTATTTACATCATATTTGAAATGGTTGGATTTTATCATGTACACTTACCACAAGGTAAGACTATTACTCCAGATCTAGCTCGTCCATTACCAAACATTTTCCTCAAACTTTTTTCTTGGTAAGGTCTTAATACAGCTGATGGCTTCAAGTCAATACTGATAATAAAATATTAGATGTTCGTTTAAATTTATATTTACTTATTTGATTAAGAACCACTTTTCAAAATACATTAATTTCATTGATTTACTTACTTTATATCAGGATTTATGCTATCATTGCGAAAATCATATTCTGCCAATAAAGGATGCTCCAATTCGATGCATCGTTTTTGTATAACTTCAATTTTTTCCTTTTTACCATAATAATACAGGTAATGTTGATATAAATATATTATATTATATTTTGTATAAACGTAAAATAACAGATATATACCTGATTCACTTCAAAACTAACTGTTTTTAATTCCTGATCTTCTTCTTCATCTTCATCTTCCTTGTCGATCTTATCGTAAAAAGCAGTTATATCTTCTGGAATGGCAGCTATTTCTGTTAATATTGGATCAGTTTCAGTCTCTGAATTCGTCTTACTAGGTACAGACGCATTTACAAGTGTTTTTGATCCAAACTATATCCAGACATAAAGGAATAAACAAGTATCTTATCTTACTATCAAAATTACTTGATAAATTATTAGCACGAATATTTCAACAGACCTGTGGAACTTTTATTTTCGCTTGAATATTCGTAACGATATCATTGGTTTCTGTATCTTCCACAAGCTTTCTTAATCGACACTCTTGAATTACTGGATCCTTTAATAACCGTTGCAACACTTCAGGAAATGGCGATTCAATGAAATATTTATTATGTTTTAGGACAAGTTTAACCTGTATGTAAAATATATAATATTTTATTAAACTAATTTTTTTCTCGACAATATTAAACATTTATTAAAAATTTTTATACTCACTTTTCCATAAGACAATGTACACAGTTTGATAAATTCAATTATACCGTCAGGAATACTAGTCTTACTCAATCTTTTTAAATACTCAATTATATCTTGTGTTTGTAGGCCTACACTAACCGCAGCATAAAGCGAATATGCAGTTAATTTATACTACAAAATAAAAGTATCTTATGTATTGTACAATCATGGATGGAATAGTTGCAATACTTTTCAATGAGTTTTGCAATGCAATCTGTTTACCGAGTGATTGATTCTTACTTATAGAACTGTAAGTAAAAGATCAATCGCTCTCAGTAAGCAGGCTGTATTCCGAAATCCATTAAAAGTATTGCAACTATTCTGTTCAGAACTGTATATTACTTGTTCTCTTTTTAATAAAATTTAAAGTTTTCTAGTTTTTGAATTTTTAATCTTACTTCGTGAATATGCTCAGGCCGACATACAGGTTCTGATATAGCTATTAAAAAATCATGAGCATGTTTATACACAGGAGAAAAGGATTCCAAAAAAATATGTCCATTTGGCGCCTAAGAAAATATAGAGATATTAAATTCAAACCCATGCTTTTGATTTAGTCTATTCAGAACTTAATTAGTTCCACAGTCCCGGTAATCACACGACATATAAAATGTACACTTGACATCCAAGACACTATCGTGTCTCTTAATTTTTTAATTTATTTTATAATAGTTTTATAAAATAAAATTAATTCTTTTGCCAAATTTTAGAAACGAATACTTACCACCCATAATGGTCTAGATGAACAATCTGATTTTAAAATCATTTGTGAGCGATAATCTTTTGCACCAAATTCATCCTCAATCGCGCACTCATCTTGTTTTTCTACATCATTTTTTGCCGCATCTGGTATACCATCTGTCTCACTGTCTATTGAATCGTCATCGTATTCATCATAATCGTCCTTGCGCTTCTTCAATTTACCTTTATTCGGTGCAATAGTATATAAAAACAAAACGTAGTATAAATAATTACTTTTCTTTTTATATAAATGTATATAATATATTAGTACATAAATATACATTAAAAAATTACATAAATATAATATTAATATAAAAATAAATTATGTAAAATTGAAAAATGTAACCAAATAGAAAAATTGAACAAAATACATATGTAAGTTATGTACTGTTATCTTTCTTGAAGCGCTTTGACGGACCCATTATATAGATACCGAAATTAAAAATTCGGTAATTATACAGAATACCTCCCCCACCTCCGATTTCGATAAAATTTGGCTCATTCAACGCGTTTTTGCATAAAATTAAAGAATCTGGCAGAAATAAGCGTCGCTCTGCTCCGCGAACCGAGATATTTAGCGTTAAAGTTGACGACTATTCAGGTTAGGAAATCTGTCAGCACTCAGCCCTACAACCCAGGGCTTCCAAACTGCTTCTTCTTCTTCTTATTCTTGTGTGAATGGCCCCGACTCTAGGCGTCGTCTACAATACACGGAGTAAGAAGTAAGAGTAAGAAATTGACCAATCACAGTCGAATGTGAGAAGAATAATCGACTGTGAAGGCCCGTCTACAATACACGGAGTAAGAAGAAGGGCTGTTACTCTTACTTCTTACTCCATGTATTGTAGCCTTTAGGCCCGGTCGGGTTTGCACCAACCTGGGTTGGATTAATGGCGTTTTGCGCTCTCTTATTGATAGAGCGTGTGACGTCAACCAATAGGAAAGATTAATCCAACCCAGGTTGGTGCAAACCCGATCGGGCCGAAAACGCTACATGTCTTTGGTTTACCCATACCTCTCAGGATAAGGTTTACGAACGTACCCTAGGATGCCACGTGCTTTAAGCCGGTTCTACATTAGTTGCAAGCCGATCGCTTTGTTGCGACAGCCAATCTGAAGCTTGCATTTTGAAATCAACGTTTCATATTGGCTGGATTCGGGGAGACGCTATTAGCGTTATTTCTGTCATTCTATCTTCATCGTCCATTAGAAGTGAGACAAGGATAGTACTACACAAATGGCGCTGATAGCACTCTGCCCAAACGCAGCCATTGACTGTCGCAACAAACTTGCGATCAGTTTGCAACTAATGTAAAACCAGCTTTAAGCACTTGCAATTATCATTCTTTATCGTCCATTAGACGTATAATAAGAATAGAAGTATTGAACTGCGCTGAAAGCGTTTATATATATATATATATATAAATCGATCACAGCCCTTGTATATTTCCACTATAATTTTAACTTTTAAGTAAACACAGTGAGTAATAAAACCTTTTTTTTAAAAATTACTTGGAATCATGTCAAAATATAACAAAATCAAGAACATTGAATCCGAGGCTCCACTTGTACATTGAAGTTTTCTTTAAAAGGTATTTCCAATATTATAATAGAGTCAGAAATTAAATAAGACAGGAAGATTTATTTAGACATTTTATTTGTCTTATTTTGCAATATTAACAAATTTTTATATATATCAAATATTTAAAATCTAGTATCTTCGATAAAATTGCATTTTCTTAAAAGACATAATTTTCTTAAAGAACTTCATAACACCATATTTCAGAGAATTTATCTTCATAATCAAGTAAGAAAGAAAATTTATTAAAATCTTGTTTTTTAAAAGGTTTTAACCACTTTTCTATCGAAATTCCGATTAGTAAAATTTTAAAAGTTGTTTCGATAGATGGACGAGTAACAAGCAGCGTTCCTGGTTTTATTGAAGTTCTCAAACATTTCCATATATCTATTTGTACATCTCTCGATAAATAAAATTCAAATGCATTATTAATGATAATAACATCGCTTTGCTCGATTATCTCTGGAACCTCTTCTATTCTTTTGTGCAAGATAGATATACGATTGTCCATTTTGAATTTACATACAGTTTCATTTTGGAGATTGCAGAATTCTTCATTCATTTCGACACCAATAATTCTTCTAGCATCTGTATATACATACGCCTGTAAAACAAAAGCATCAATATGATCAAAAAAATTGCTGTAAACAAAAATTTTCTTATCGCTTATATTCAGCAATTAATTTATTAATAATATTATCAGTTATGTGTACAATAATACATATTTCTAAATAATATTCTTACCCCATAAAGAACTGCACCTAATCTTGATCCTACGTCAAGTACAGTTTTGTTTTCTAAAGTAGGCAGTAGCACTTTAAATATAAAGTACAATCCATCCTGTGACATGGAGTGTGATAAATAAACTAAAATTATAAATATATTATATTTACATAACATAAATCATAAAAAAATAAAGAAAAAATTTAATTTTTATTTTACTTACTCAATGGTTGTATATTTCTAGATCTACAATTAGTGCAATAGTATTTTTCTAATTGATTACTATCTATAAGCTTATCAATATCTTCATCATTATAAAGGAACTCATCCATATGCAATGTGACACTAGGATCGCAATCTGAATTCTAAGACAAAAAATATATTTAATGTTATTTTGATATTTTTCAAAAATTAAACAGTTATTCTTTATATTCATTTATGACAAGACATACCTCTCCTGTTAAAGGAGTGATAAAATTTTCAGATGACAATATAGCATTAAATGGAATCTTTTGTTTAATATCAGAAGCAATTGAATTTAAAATAGACATTGACTCATCCATTAATTTTTTATTATTACATGCATCATCCCCTATTAACAATAATTTTAATAGGAAAAATTAATTTATTTTGATTGTGGGATTATTATGTCAAATAAAGTAATATAATTTGTTATTTTTAGTTTTATTATAAGATATTCATATACTTTATCACAATTGTAAAGAAACTAAAAGTTAATAAAAATTGAGTATAAAGAAAAATATAATTCATTAATCTATTTTAATCATATTATTTTATAACAAAATATAATAAAATTATATTTGTACATATAAAAAAAAATATAGCAAACCTGAATCATTATAAGCCATAGATGGTTTAAGTTTCCATTCTTTCATAATAAATGCTAAAAATTT